AGGTGAGGCGAGTGCTCTACCGCTGAGCCACCACCCCAGCCCCCAGTTAATCTTTTGGGTTTCTGATTAAATGTTGCTTCCCCAAGGGAAGCTGCTATGTTCCAAATGTGTCCCCAAAGTTCAAGTGTTGGAACCTTTGGCAGGTGATAAGGTTCTGAGGCTCCGTCCCCCACTGCTGGGGAACTGGGAGCTGTGGAGTGAGCAGGCACCACAGTAGCTTGGTCCACCTCTCTTGCGCGTGCTCTCCTGCTTGTCCACCCTCAGCCAAGAGATGTGTGACACTAGGATTCAGGCTGTGCCCCCAGCCTACTACGATGGTCACAAGGCAGGACAGCATCCATGCATGCCCAGGGGACAGGCTGGTCTCTCCTAGCCCTGCTCTCTCTCTGCTTCTCTCGCCCGGTGCAGAAAGCCTGGGTGCCCGAGCTCCTGGGCGGCCTCACCTTCTCCTTGGCTGACTTCTGGGTGTCCTCATCCATTCACTTCAGCGTGCTCAGGCTCTCCTCAAAGGCCTTCTTGATCTCCAGGATTATCTCGCTGGCCTGAGGAGACAGATGTTGCACCCTCAGCTCTGGGCACTGGCCCCCTGGATGCAACCAGTGCCCCAGGCAGGATGACACTGGACCCGAGGTCAAACTGAGCCCACGCTCAAGGCCTCGGGTTCTGCAGAGCGGGCTAAGAGGGTGGCCATGGCTGTGCTTCCAGACAATGTTCCTAACATGGATATCCCTTGAGACAAGACGGGCCTTCCGCGCACTGGTCTCTGTGGTCGAATGAGCTTGGATGTGCCTTGGGGAAGCAGAAAGGTCCACAGCAGGACTTTTCTGAGCCTTTAGCATGGTGGAGTGCTCGTTTGGAGCCATCCAGAAGACATGGCCTCTCCCAGGCTGATGGGATCCTTTTTGATGGAATAGAGCTTTAACACCCAGAGAACTTGATCTGAGGAGCACTCAGAAAGGCCACACTCATGCGCAAATGGCAGCTGTTGAGGGTGACGATGCACGGGCAGACCCAGGGGCCAAAGATAGAAGATGGAAGGATTCTGGGGAAGGGGAAGGCAAGAGCCGTGGGGTTGGGGCCAGACAGACCTGGATTCAGATTCGGCCTCAGCAGATGTGATAAACAATTGCTGCCATTGACTGTAGCTTATTTTGGGCCAGGTGTTCTTTACGTGTCTCATCTCATTTTGTTATGGCCAGGCTGTGTGGGCAATGACCACACAGACTCCATTTTGCCCTGAGACTCCACATCATGTAAGAAATGCTTCTCCCGTGGAAAAGCTCCGCCTCTGCACCCATCAGCGAGCGGTTGCCTAGCATAGCATGTTAGGCGACACAGATGGCAATTCTTATACAACGTAAAAGTGTCCTCTCTTCAGTTCCCATTTTTCTTGGACAATCTACCCTGTCAGAGGTGGACTGTCTAGATGTTAGTAGCCATTCTTTAACTTGTCCTTGACTAGGGACGTTTTGGCCCACCCTCTTTACTGCTTATGATTTTAGATCTTATGATGTTTGTTTATGGTTTTGGGTTATAGCAACAGCCACTTATGCGTTAATATGGTTTTGGACTACAAAAGGTGTGCTCGAACCCTGGGAGGGGGTGGAAGGCTGTGAACTAGCAGCCTGGCCCTTGGCCTGTCTCTTGCTTTAAGATCCACTTGGTGATTTATTGCAATCTCACCTTAACAATTTAACACCCCTCTGCAGAAGGGACAGCCCTACTTTCATGTCCCAGGTGAGGGGAGAACACCGCTCAAGTCACCCAGCCAAGTGAAAGAGCCAGAATCTGAGCTGGGGGCTGGCTGTCTCCCCAGCACTCAGCCATGATGGTCCTCTACCTGCCCGAATAATTCTGTCACCCTCAGAGTAAGAAAAATGTCACTTCCAGGTCAACATTACCTGGTGGGGTCCTTCACAGCCCCAGGAGGTGGAGATGGCTGTGGTAGCCTCGTGGGGTCACTGGGAAGATCAAATTAAATAACACAAACTGGCCTGGCCCTCAACCACGGAAGTCATTTAGTAAGTCCTACCCTGCAGCCTGAGAAGACGGCCTCTGAGTTAAAGAAGGCCCCAGGATCCTGTGGCCTGGAACAGGAAAGGCCCAGGGCAGAGCAAAGTGTGGGCTGTCAGGCTGGCGGCGGGGTGGGGGGTGGTCCAGCAGATGTGATGCCCACTCTGTCCACAGGGGAGGTACTTACTATGTTCTTGCTGTCCTCGGCGAAGGTCGCTTTGACAAACGTGGGGCCCAGGGCAAAGCCCAGGTTGTTTTCCGTGTCACTCATGCAAAACTTCCAGCAAGGAAGGCAGGTCTGGAAAACACGAGCGCAGAGGGTCACTGGGCCCAGTCCTTCTTCTCCCAAGGCCTGGCTGGGAGGTGGCGCTATAGGAGGCCTGTGCTTTCCCCCAGAACTCCAGGGAGACAGACCTCTTCTGGCTGCAGAAGTTATTTTAGTCCACAGACACCCCTCATGGCCACCATCTACTGTCTCCTGAGTACCAGCCTCTGTGCTTGGCAGTTCACGAAGGTCTGCCACTGAGCACCCCTAGCAGGCAGGGATGGGCCACTGGACAGACAGGAAGCAGAAATTCAGTAAGGGCAGTCACTGGTCCAGTAGGTGACAGTGGGTAGGGGTGCCACAGGGATGGGAACTCTGACATGCCTGGTCCTCCATCCGGGTCTCCCGCCAACTCCACCTGGTCCTGCCTCCTGGAGGACACAAAGAATCTTGGAGGCGCAGTACCTCGGGAAGTTGCCCGTCCACCTGAGCAACGGCAACCTTCCCAGAAGGCCAGGGGCCCAGCCCCATTTACAGCCTCCTAGAGAGAGAAGGCCACAGTGACATCACAAAACTTCAATGTCGGCTTTTTTTTTTTAATGTTCTAAGGATGCCAGGCAAGCGCCTCACCACTGAGCCACATGCCCACTCCAACCCTAGCTCTTTCCTTATATTTTATTTTGAGATAGGGTCTCTCAATGCTCATTGCCCAGAATGGCCTTGAATTTGCAATCCTCCTGCCTCAGCCTCCCCAGCAGCTTGGATCACAGGTGTGTCACTGCACCAGGCTTAAGTTGGTTCTTCCTCAGTCTCACCCACAAGCAGTGCTAGCCCACAGGACACCTCAGTAGGAACCAGAAATGGTCCTTGAGCTGCAGCTCCCCAGAGCATGGGCTGATAAAGAGCACCGGGAGGGTTTCAGCCTCGCTGTCCCCCTGCCCGGCCATCCCTCCATGGACAGTGTGTATGACCAGGTGTGATGACCCTGCTTATGTAAACCGGTCCAGCTGCAGGGTCCTCTTAACCCTGAGGAACAGGCTTGACAACCAGCTCGGGGCAGCCTGCTTCACACCAGCCCTACTTCGAACAACCCAAATGCCCATTGGCAGACAGATGGATAAACAAAATGTGGTGTTTTTCTACAGCGACATACTACTTGGCAGCACGGAGCACCAGCTACTCAGAGATGCCACAACATGACGAATTCCACAGACTCACTGAGACAGGCGGCCAGGCAGACAGTGTAGGACTCGGCTGCCCATCTGCAGCACCTCAGGGAGACGTAGGAAGGGGCCCGAGGGCATGTGGGTAACTGGGTCACGGAAACCTTGTTTGTCCTGACTGGGCTGGTGGTCACACACACGACTTCATTGTCACAAATCAACCAACTGTATCCTTCACCCACACTCTATGCACATGTGTGTGCATATTGTTTTTATGTGCTGGGGGTTGAACCCAGGGCATCACACATGCTAGGCGGGCTTGCTTTCTTAATGGGGTGTTATGGATGGAACCCAGGGCCACCCTCACACCACACTAAACTACTCTATGTCTCAAATTTTTTTTTGAGACAGGGTCTCCCTGGAATTACCAGAGTGTGCCACCATGGCCAGGTATACT